CACCTTCCATCCATCCAGATCTTCCCCCTCAAATACTCTGACCAGGAAACCTTCCCTGACTAATCCTGTGGTTGCACCTAACAGTCCACTCCCTCACTCCTCTATCCCAAGACTTCTGCCCAAAGCTGTCCTATTCCTAGTTTTGTTCTTGTTCCTATCTGGATCTGTTTCTGTGTCCTGACTCTCAGACTTGCATTAGACTGGATACCCTCTAAGGCTAGTTATTGTCTCGATTACTCCCACCCCCTGCACACACATCTGACTAAGTATAGCCAGGACTCTGATCACAGAAGCAGGTCTCCCCCCAGGTGGTAGGGAAGGAAACCAGTAAACTCCAGAAGAGGAAAAAGTGAGAGAACAAGGATGCCACCCCCTCTCTCAAGACTTGTCTAGTCTCCTATCAATAGACAATAACCTAATGAGTGCAGCAGGGAGCTGTGAGCAATGACCCTCTGACATCAAGGGTGAGAAACCATCCCTGCCCTTGCTAGACTTTGGAAACTGAATTAATCATCCACCTCATGAAGCTCATTATTTCCTGAGCCTTAATTTGTACCAGATTCTCTCCCTCTCTGTGTTTCTCTCTGTCTGTGTAAATTCATCACTAGTCTCTTGTATAGCTTTCTCTCTGTATCTGTGTGTCTCTGTCTCTCTCTGTATACCCCTCCTTGTTTCTGCTTCTTGTCCTGGAATAACTGAAGTAAGAATATCTGAGCTTCTAGAACAAACTCTCCTGTCTCATGGGGCATTTGTGTGTTTATGATGAAAAATCAGGTGGAGGGACCTCACTAGGGTGTCATCCCCTTGCTTAGAAATTCTAGGCTCTCCACCATTCCTTGGCAGACCATCCCGCCCACCCCATCCCTCTGCCTCTTGCTTGCCCAGCGTATCTGGTTTGTCATCTTGGTAGCCCCTCCATGTGCAAGTCTGCTTCTGGCTGGACAGCAATGAGTGACAGGCAAGCAGAGGTCCCCCGGGACCCCCACCCCCAATTTCAACTTCCCGGAAGAATCGGATAACCATTTCTGTCCCTATAAGCCCATCTACCTCAGGGAACCCACAGATAGTCCAGATACAAGGAGAAACAGGCTTGGGCAGCCCAGAGTGAGTTCCTACAGCTGACCCCAGAGGGACCGGGGGTCTTCTCTGTCTATAGTCCCCGCTGCTCCTCCCCACCTGGTGAGCCACTCTCAGGAAAGATGGAGGTGAGGGCTCTCCTGAAGTGGGGGTTCTTAGAAACAGGGACCCAGAGACGTTCAGGCGACACAGCCCGAGAGATGACACGGGCTTGGGGCAGCCCTCCCCACCAGCCGCGTCCATTTCTTGGTCTGGTCCTCTGGGAAGTCTTCAAGAGGCTGCTGACGGAGCCCTGTGGGCA